AAAGCAGCGCTGCGCTTATGAACAGCATCGATAAAGTGTTTCCTTGGTTACCGCTGTAAGCAAAGCAGTGATGCAGCGTTTCCTCGGTTACCGCTGTAAACAAAGCAGCGCTGCGCTTATGAACAGCAGTGATAGTGTTTCCTTGGTTACCGCTGTAAATAAAGCAGAGCTGCACTTATGAACTTTAATATGCGTTATACAGAGGCAAGATGAAAAGAAAAAATACCATCTAAACTTTTCTAATGACAGTAAGTTCCCCTCAGACATGCATTCATATAAACTCCTACCCCTAATTGAATCGCGATTTGTTTAGCATCTCAACCGATTTGAATCATCACATATTTGAATTGATTTTCAACCGGCTCACGGTTAATCGTTACATCCCTATTTATTAAGGTCTTCACAAAATGTCTAACATATTTTGCTTAAAAACACTTAGTGGTTGTGTAAACAACACCCTTTTTGCCTTGTCAAAAACAGCTCTGCTCACACCAGCCCGTTTTGGTGTATGTCTCTTTAAATGATAATGAGTCACTGCACCCCACCCCCCTTCCGGGATCTCCACTAAAGATCAAATAAATCCAGTCCTCTCTCGTCTCCTCTGAGGCTGGGACTCTAAATAATGATTTGTATTCATTTGTGCAGCCAATGACAAAACACGTAGCCAGTTTTCTGCAAACTTTTGTCATGGCGTCAGAACAAGTACGCCGCTGTCGCTTGTGCAAACAAGGAGCGCTGTGGGTGGAAACGTGCAGATTAATGGGCGATAATATAATAAGAACCCCTTCCTACGTCAGAGGAGGAGAGGAATCTGATCGGCTCATTTTCTCACATGCTTGCAGAGAAAGTTTTACAAAACCAAACTTACTGGGTTCTTCTTTTACGTTTTCTGAGTTTGTAGATGCACCGATCACACAGATTATAGAAATTAATACTTTTATTTAGCAAGGATGCTTTAAATTGACAAGTGATGATAAAGACATTTATAAAGTTTTCTATTTCAGATAAACGCTGTTATCCTTCTGAAATTTCTGTTCATCAAAGAAACCTGAACAAATTCTACTAATCCAGGTGTGAACAACTTGTTGCATCTTTCCCAAAAAGATTCATGGCTGTATTAGATCAAAAGGGTGCTTCTACTAAATACTGAGCAAAGGGTCTGAATACTTAGGACCATGTGATATTTCAGTTTTTCTTTTTTAATAAATTTGCAAAAATGTCAACAATTCTGTGTTTTTCTGTCAATATGGGGTGCTGTGTGTACATTAATGAGGAAAAAAAATTAACTTAAATGATTTTAGAAAATGGCTGCAATATAACAAAGAGTGAAAAATTTAAGGGGGTCTGAATACTTTCTGTACCCACTGTACATTACAGTTTAACAGAGATTCACATAGAGAACAGATATTTTCAATAGTAAAAATGTTTCACTGTATTACTGCTTTTGCTGTATTTTGGAACAAATAAATGCAGGCTTGATGAGCAGAAGAGGCTTCTTTAAAACACATTACAAATCTCACGGTTCAAACACTTGTGACGGCTCGTGTAGGAACCTCTGAGGCCAGCTGCATAAAAGAGCCAGTATGTGAAGAACTAGTTTGACCAGCTAGCAGTTAGCCAAGAGTACTTTACTTTTCTGATTCAGAATAAGCATCCGGCCCCGGGTCCAGATGTATTGAGTGCTCAGTATTAGGATGCAAGTGTCCCTCTGAAATGAGGAGCCCAGTATCGGGAGGTCTGTAACTAGTTCATCATGACTGTGATCTGTACCTCCTCTACACGGCTTCGTTCAAATGTCTTCTCTTCTTTTTTCCAGGGGTTGCTGTCATCCCAAAACCAAGCCAGCTCTCCCAGTGGAACAGTAGTATAGCCACGATGTTCCTGCTGCTATGAGACCGCATCACGTCTCCGGCTCCGCTCAGAGCCGCTGGTTTTCCTCCTCTCCTGCTCTCTCTGTGCTTCTGGAGGCCTGTGTTCGCAGGGGATCCTTATATTTCTTCTGTTCGACCAGAGTATTTATTTGAATTGTTTTGTTGCTTTCACTCTCAAATGCATCTCACGGTGTTATTATTTTCTCCTGTGTGTGTCATGCTTGCCTGAGGTGTGGGGATCATTTAATCAGGTGGAAAAGCAGTGGGCTTGAACTCAGTTTGCTGAGAGACCTGGTGGTCCACACGGCTCCAGACTCGCTTCCAGCACAGACCCTTTTAACGCTTTTACCTTCTCCCTCTTTCTGATGGAACAGGTTCCACCCGCTGGTCAAGACTTGGCACTGATTTTATTTAGGTTGTTGTTTTGGTAACCACTTTAAAGGATCACAAAAGACAAAAAAGGAAGACATAGATGTTTGGGGAAGGCCTTGATGCACTTGGCTTTAATATCCTCTGTCTTGAAATCTGAATCTGAAAAGCTGGATGCTGCAATCATAGTTTTTTAAAGAAAATTTGTTTGCACTTAATAGTTTATTAGAAGAGAATGGCTTTACATTTTTGTGTGCGAGGACTCACAGACCGGTATAATGTGGAGAATTATGATTAAAACTTTGTATCTATTGAGCATTTATTTTAATATTGTTTCAGATGAAATCTGCTTTGTATTATATGTATAATATTGTAATTCAGTGATTTATCGGGGCAGAAGCAAATGATCAGTAACTCTAGTGGATCATTACAGGAAATAGTGACATTTCTAAAGCAGAAAAATAGACAATGATATTAAAAATAATCTTAAATATGCAGGTTTCTGTTTGTTTAGTTTCGTTTTCCTGTCTCTTGTACAGAAGTCCCCCAGATGTATTTTGATAAGAGATTTCTGTAAGAGAATTACGCTGATCTATAGTTACAGACGGCCAAACGCATGAAGCTCAGGAAGTCTAGCAGACGCAGAAAACAGCCCTTACGAAAGAGTTCCCAGAGTTCATATTTTGCTGACCAACAGCAAACTTATTCTATGTACTACTAAGAAAAAGCCACTAGAGCGATCGGTAGAATCTCTCAGTGTGACACTATTAAACGTCTAACAGCCTTTTCTGTGACTAGCAGTCGTTGTTCATGAGATATACACTAACCAGGAAAGACCAGGATGTGGAAGTGCTCATATTTTTGAATCATGTGGTTAACATTTTGCATTTCACATTTTGTTCTTCATTAAAAAAGTCCATGGATGTTTGGTCTGGTGTGTATCTGTGTAGCTGTTGTGCTGTGTGTGCTAGTTTACTTTAACCAGCTAGACCACTAACTAGTGCTGAGCTGCTGCTGATATTACGGGGTTTGTGCTTTCTCATGCTGGTCCAGAATAACAGTTTTGGTCCTATTTTGCAGAATCTATTTATTTTTGTTCAACTGTACGTCAGCAGGTGAAACCAACATTCACAATATGTGTGTTTGACACTTCTGTTACTAAGAGCCTGTTTTGATTTGATTTAAGCGGTTTTATTTATGCTGATTGGTATAATTGAAAAAAGTGCAAAAACACTAATGTAAAGGTAGAGTTTATGGCAAATGGTGAATTTCATGCCAAAATGCATTCGTGTAAAGATCTGGTGGTGGTGAATGTGCATCGGTATACAGTAGTGAGATCATTTACAGGCGACACAAGTGTCGGATATCTACAGTGTGCTGTCGAAACATGGCAGTCTGCAACGAGTGCACAGTAAATCCCCTTTATTGAACACTATATAAAGTCCACTTGTGGAAATGTCTCAGTGGCTCCAATAGCAAACCAGCGCTGCTGATGATCCAGTTTAACGTTCATCCCGTAATAAAAAGTGCAGGAACACCAGGAACAACCAGCACGAATGGCACTTGCTGTCTCTGCCGTGAGATCCGTCTCGTTTAGAGAGATTCATTGGTCTGGTTTGGGTTAAATACTGGTCTAATGGAAAGCAGCAGACTTATATTAGTTACATCCATTTTTATAGAATCTGCTTTCAACAATCTGAAACGAATTTGGGACGGATGTATCGTGACCGTTTGAATCGGTCAGCCAGTAAACCCATGCAAATATCAGCTTGTACTGGTTTGAAAACGGCATGTTTCTGTGTGTGCACAGACTATTATTATGTAATGTGAATGTTGATGTCTGTAGTCTGTTGAAGCCAGCACACTGGAACCAGAGGCAGACGCGGGGCGTGTTGGTCAGTGTTCAGTGGGTCAGCACTCGTCTGGACGGCGCTCCAGCGGAGGCATGTAGCTGCTCTTGAAACGGTGTGGCTCTTCTTTGGGCTTTTCAAATCAGAAGAACATAGATTCAGCTCACAGACAGGACGCTCTAGAGCAGATGAATGCACTGAAGCTGGTGTAAAGGTGTGATTACTTTGGTCAGACGCGAGTGGCACTTTTTGGAGATGGCCGGCAGAGAGCCGCGGTGCGAGACGCTCAGCGCTGGGAAGCTGGACACTGGGTAAGGGATTGTGGGTGTCGGGATCACCACGTTGAGTTTTGGTAGCTCCAGAGGGAAGTGCGAGGCGTTTCGTCGGCTGAGCGAGTCGCTGGCGTGCTTAAGATGCTGCCGAGAGGAACAGAGAGTCAACCGTTGAAACATTTCATCACAACTGCAAATTATGAGCTGAGATTTGACTCTTTATACTGCTTTGCCAAAATGCATTTGGTTTCTTTTCAATGAAAGAAGACAAAACAATGTGTTCATTAGGTGACGACAAAGTACAACTGAAATTCAATAATATCCAAAGGTTTTATGTATTAATTGAAATCAACAACAGAAATGACCTCCAGTCGAAAGACAGACAGCATTAAGCATGCTTTGTTTTCATTCTTCATTGTCTGTGTTTTTGCTCATTGTGATGGAAAGAGTGCGTTCACAACAGTTCACGTGTCCTTTTGTGTTATTTTCTGCAAATGAAAGTTATAAAATGCCGTTTATGTTGCGCGTGTATGTGATTAATCTCAAGTGCTTCAGTGTTTGTTCAGGCCGATCCCTGACTGGATTATTGCATTATTGGAATTTTCTCAATTTTTCTTCTTCAAAAAACACTGTGCATTAATAATATTCAGCAAAGGATTTTTATTTTGTCTAACATCGACTGGCATGCTGTGAAGAGTTACCTGTCGTCTTCCCTGCCGTGCGATTCTCCACAGCTGATCCACGGATTCTCCCTCGACAGCTCCGATCGCCTTCCGCAGACTCGCTGCTTTCCTCTCACACATCCTGCAGAAAACACCACAGAAAGCGCTGAAGCAGTGCCGCAACACAGGTACAGGCCACACGTGTGCTTCGACTGATTCTGTACTGACTGACAAACAGCTGCACTGAAAGGAAGCCTCGAGTTACTGATCTAACGCTTTATTCTGAAAGCCAGAGTGTCTGATAACAGTGAGTGTTCATAAACACAGCTTTGACCTGCTTTACCACGGATCTCACATCACTGAAAAATGCAATTTGCGGGTAAAATATGTTTTCATGAGCAAACAGAGCATCTTTAAGTGAAACTTAAGCATGCTTTTGCTGCAGCATGCTTTAATGCTTCTGTGTCGGTCTGGAGGTGTGTTCGTACCGCAGTTCTCTGAAGCAGGGGTGCTGCAGTGCTGTGCGGGCGCTGATGCGCTCCTCGGGGTCGTAGGTCAGCATCTGGTGCAGCAGAGACAGAGCGGCTGCAGAGCACTGAGGGATCAGCTGGGAGATGCCACAGCCTCTGCGAGGAGGGAAGTCGAAGCGCATCGCACGGGACCTTCAACACAACATTTAAACCATGAATTACACCTTATTTTAGCTAAAAATTAAAACTCCTTTTTGGGAAGTTAAGCATTCTGTCATTTTGATAATGGCCTTGGGTCTAAATGCTATACGTTACAACTACGCATTATTATACACACTATCTGCTTGTTGAGTCAGAGTCGGGTGCAATCCTCATCTCAGATGTTCATAATCACTATTTTTTTAATCGCACACCTTTAAGCTAAGCTTTAATAACTGCCAGCGTTCACGAGTCACTCATCGAGCCTGCATGCTGCGCGCTGCGCGCTGGTCCGTTCTGTGTCTACATGTGACTGTGTTTGTGCTCTTAGTCTGATGGATGTTGCTTTGGCCTCTTTTCTCTCTTCAGGGCAGAGGGATGTCTGAAATGTTTTGATGAGTTTGTTCTCACTGTTTGAACTTCTGCAGCAGCGAGCTGTCCGGCGTGCCCAGCACATCGTGGATTTTGTTGACCTGGTCTAACTCGTTTCGGCCGGGGAATAAAGGGCTCAGACTAGAAGACATGGAAACGACTGATTAGAACATGACAACAAATCAAGGAACAAACGCCACACCGCTCACGGCACGATGGAAGCACCTGAGGATCTCGAAGAAGACGCATCCGGCGCTCCACATGTCCATCTTCTGCGAGTAGTGTCCGTCGGTCAGCAGGCACTCGGGCGCGCGGTACCAGCGTGTGGAGATGTACTCGGTGTGAGGAGGTCTGGAGAAGATGCTCCTGCAGGAGCCGAAGTCTGCCAGCTTCAGCACATCATTCTGTGAGAGACAGCGGAAGTGACTGAACATATATGTGCACACTTATTGTTACAAACAAATAATAATTAAAAAAATCACATAGTCTGGATGCCCTTACTTTGATCAAGATGTTCTCTGGCTTCACGTCTCTGTGAAATATGCCATGGCTGCGTTCAGAATGAACAGATAAGCGTCAGTATCATCACTCATGAGGAGGCTGAGAGCATGTGTGTGTGTGAGTGTGTGCGGGAGTGTCTGCGTGTGTGTATGGGTGTGGGAGTGTGTCTGTGTCTGTGTGGGAGTGTGTGTGTGTTCACGACTGTCACCTGTGCATGTGTTCCAGAGAGCGGCACAGCTGGAACATGTAGTGCTTGACTTTACTCTCCGCTAGAGGACACTGACGGCCTGCAGGAGGAACACAAGACACGTTTACTTCCGTGTGAAGCATTTCATCACAGCAAACACACCGTACCGTACCTTTAATAAACTCGTATATGTTCATCTCCATGAGCTCACAGATGAGTGACAGCGTTCCCGTGTCTTTATCGCTGTAAGCAGAGTGTGTGATCAGTTCAGCACAAATTAATATTCATTCACTCGTTCAGAACTGAGTTGTTAATAAATACTCACTAAATGAGCTCATGAAGCTGGAGGATGTTGGGATGGGGACTCAAACGCTTCATGGCTTGAACCTCCCTGAGACTGTGAGCCTGATCCACACTGACAACAATCAGCATACAGTATTACTGCTCATGTCAGTAACCAGACGAATGAGTCAGAAGAGCAGCAGAGAACATGAAAAACAATGTGTTTATCACACTCAGACACACACACACAGACACAGACACACACACACACACTCACACACACAGACACACACACACACCCAGACACACACACACTCAGACACACACACACTCAGACACACACACTCACACACACACACACACACACTCACTCACACACACACTCAGACACACACACACTCAGACACACACACTCACACACACACACACACACACTCACTCACACACACACTCAGACACACACACACTCAGACACACACACTCACACACACACACACACACACTCACTCACACACACACTCAGACACACACACACTCAGACACACACACTCACACACACACACACACACACTCACTCACACACACACTCAGACACACACACACTCAGACACACACACTCACACACACACACACACACACTCACTCACACACACACTCAGACACACACACACTCAGACACACACACTCACACACACACACACACACACTCACTCACACACACACTCAGACACACACACACTCAGACACACACACTCACACACACACACACACACACTCACTCACACACACACTCAGACACACACACACTCAGACACACACACTCACACACACACACACACACACTCACTCACACACACACTCAGACACACACACACTCAGACACACACACTCACACACACACACACACACACTCACTCACACACACACTCAGACACACACACACTCAGACACACACACTCACACACACACACACACACACTCACTCACACACACACTCAGACACACACACACTCAGACACACACACTCACACACACACACACACACACTCACTCACACACACACTCAGACACACACACACTCAGACACACACACTCACACACACACACACACACACTCACTCACACACACACTCAGACACACACACACTCAGACACACACACTCACACACACACACACACACACTCACTCACACACACACTCAGACACACACACACTCAGACACACACACTCACACACACACACACACACACTCACTCACACACACACTCAGACACACACACACTCAGACACACACACTCACACACACACACACACACACTCCCAGACACACACACACTCAGACACTCACACAGACAGACACGACTGGTGACGCCATACCTCTCGACGGGCTGCTTCATGGTTTTACAGGCGTAATGTTTGCCGTCCTTCAGACTCTGGACCTTCGTGACCTCAGAGAACGTCCCCTCTCCGATCTTCCTGATGATCCTGTAATCTACAGCAGATCAGAGTGAAACACACGCAACATGATCAGCAGCGGAACACGGGCGGCTCTTACTGTTCATCGCTCAGCCGGCGCGTGGCAGCGTCCTTCGCATCTCGGCGGAACCAGCTTGGATTCGGGACAGGCTCGTTTGATCGATCGGTGACGCGTCAGCGCCGGTCTCCATGGCAACGACGCGCGCCTGAACTCTGACCTGCAGCCAGAGGTCGCGCTGTCCAGCGATCAGCGTGAGCTGCGGCGTTAATATCACATTCACACCAGCGACATCAAAGATCCTCACCTCTGTGCGACACAGTCTTCTTCAGACTCATTTCAGCGCGTTTACACACATTAGTGTTCAAACTGAACGCGTTTGCTGAATCTGAACGAATAAACCGAACAGCTGTCGCGTCACCACGTCGCGTTTTACATCTGTGTTATTATTATCATCATCATTATTACTGTTATCAGGTTTAAATATCGATCTATTTGATTTATTCTCAGTCGTGTAATATTATTGTATTTACGGCTCGCTCCGGTAAAGACGCAAACGGGCTTCCGTACACAGACAGATGCGCATGCGCACAACCAGCGCGGAGCCCGTCGTGTCAGAACTCAAGAGTTTATCATCATTATTCATAATAATCGATCATGAAGAGCAGGTTTAATACGGTGGATATCAGGGCGGTGATCGCAGAAATCAATGCGAAGTAAGAACTCTAATATCGTCAGTAATGTGATCAGGTTTATCTAAGTTGTTGTGAGTGAGAGTAATAATACTTCTGATGTTGTGTGTTTGTGTGCAGGTGTGTCGGGATGAGAGTCAACAACGTCTATGACATCGACACTAAAACATACCTGATCAAGCTGCAGAAGTGAGTGACACACACACTACACACACACACAGAGACACACACACACACACACACACACACACACACACACACACACACACACACACCAAACACACACACAGACGGACAGAGCGCGGGAATAACGCGAATAATGTCGGTGTGCGTGTGTCTCTAGCGCGGCTGTGTGTCCGCCGCTATCCCATCATTCTCTCCGGAGCAGCAGCAGCGCAGGCTGGGATACTCACCACCGCCAGCGGCCCGACATGCACCGCGACACCGGACGCAGCGCCTCAGTCCTCCGGCAGGCGGCGCTCAAACAGCAACTTATAAGATAGCAACTTTGACCCTGGAGCACAAAACCAGTCATAAGAGTCAATTTTGTGAATCTGAGATGTATGCATCAGCTGAAAGCTGAATAATAAGCTTTCCATTGATGTATGGTTTGTTAGGATCGGACAATATTTGAAAATCTGGAATCTGAGGGTGCAAAAAAATCTAAATATTGAGAAAATCATCTTTAAAGTTGTTCAAATGAAG